GAGCCTCAGTGGTTTGGCAGTTGTATAACGACATAATTTGGCAGTTATGTAATGATGTGGTAGTCCTGATTTTCACATAACAACCTGGTCTTTGGAAACTAACCATGTTGATAAGTGAGGAGTGGGTGTAATAAAGATTCTAAAAATATAGGTACAAATGTACTTTACTTTCAGAAGTGCTGTACTTTCCTTTCAGATGAATTCATGTTAACCCAATCAAAAGCTGACATCCCTAGATTATTAAAAAATAAAATCTGCATGCTACACAGTTTGCTGGAAACATTAAAACCTGTGCTTATGAAATCAGCCTGTAAGGATTTGAACTGCTTTTCATGCCTTATGGAAGAAATTAGGCCCTACACTCCAAGGGCTGGTTATTAAATATTGTATCTTTAAAAAATCACCATGCTGAAAAATATTTGTATGTTACAGATACAAATTTCAAGAGATAGAAAAGAATATAAGTCTTATAATTTAATAACAATCTGAAGATGCTGCTAAAAAAAAAAGGCTGTCTTTTGATGAACAGATTTTTCTATAACAGGAGGTTAACCTTCAAAATAGAGTTCAAGGATCCTTCTCTAAATATGTGGTTTGTGCTTACCTGGAATACAGATCAAAGCACTGCAATATTGCTATAGAAAAATAAGCTATTTTCTTAGCTACATATAAATACCTTTAACAGCATGTTTTGGGGGTCTTTAAATTTTATTTTGAATTTGTTTCTGCTCAAAAAAGGGCACAAACTGTCCATTAAGAAAACAAAGAAGAACTGAGGGTTATAGAAGAACAGCTGCTTCTAATCACTATGTCAACTGACATACAGGTAGAAATCTACCTCCCCAAAGAAAGAAAATCAGTATTTATAAAACATCTAGCATTTCAAATATACGGTAAATGTTATGACCACACTCTATATTACAGTTCTTAAGTTTTTACCTGTGACCAACAGGAAAAAAAAAGTGGCCATTTATAATGGGGTATTCTGTGACGAGTGGTTTCTGCTTACATCACTTCATTTCAAAGGATTTGCTAGGACAGTCAAGTTGGCTCAAGCTGAAACAGCCCAATTACTAGTAAAAACTGCCTCAGGCTTCCAGAGCCTACAGGGCTTTAAAAATCAATGATGCTATAGTACTTCCATTCTTAAAAAGACAGCCAGCAACCAAACTAAACAAAAGTTGAAAATCTACACTATTTCAAAGTATTACTACTCCTCAGTCATACACTCAATTCAGGACATAATTTGACATTGTCAATTCTATCAGTATTGCCATGGCTCATGGTCTTACAGAGGCCAAGACAATTAGGACAGGTAGTAAATACTTTGAAAAAATAATCAGACAAAGGTAATTCGCATATAGAGTTTTTTGTAGTCTTATTTTTAGCTTTAAATTCATGGGGGTCATGGGAAAAATAAAAATCAACATATGTAAAAACAACTTATTTTAAGTTTGTGGGGTTTTGTATTATGCTGCTCCATTAGAGAATGTTATTGTTTAGCTAAATTGTACCTGTAAGATTTTCTATTAGCCGCAGAGGATAAGATATTAGTGTGAGCTTTGACATTGGTGGAATCACAAAACCCTAAACATACAGGAAAGCCAATGGAAACTTCTTTTCTGATGGCAAACACAGAAGAATGATATTCTAGATATATGAAAAGTATCCTTCACCTCTCCTTTATCTGTGGGTCCTAAATGAGGGGTTGGAGCAGAGTGATGAAATAAAGGCTTCCCATTAAATGCAACTCTTGGGAAGAGATTCCCTGGTGCAGACCAAATATCCATCGGGAACTCAGGAGAAAGGAAGAAACAACAGTGGCTTCCTCTAAAAATTTATTTACTCATTTATTCTTTATTCATTCTTCTGATTATTTAACAAATATTTTTTCCAAGGACTACAAAGTGACAGGAATGTTTCTAGGCAATTGAAATACAACTCTATGAATTATTTGGGCATAGAGACTAATAAAAAAAATTAAAACAGTGGTGAGTTGGCCATGCTATCAACTCTGCAAGAAATACACTTTCCAGAGAGAAAGAGCTGAAACATCCCTGAAGTTAACCAATAAAGCAGGCAGGTAATATTTTATCGACCATATTGGAAGGAAGAGAAGTTGTTGTCAGAATTCAATTCATAATGGCTCAGTACTTAAAGATTGAAACTTGAAAAATTGTGTTAAGTGGAAAGTAAGACTCTGTAATAAAAGCCCTGGTGTAACAAATGAGATTTTCCTCACAAAACATGTTGAATAAGTTAACAGAACTACCGAGGCACTTCTAGAAAAAAAGATAATTTCGTCACTCACATTGTTAAGGAGGTTCTGGAGAATGAAATTAAGTTTTTCATAAATGTGTGTGTGAGTGTATTATAGTAAATGATAATTCTAAGTGTGTGTGTGCATGCATGCCCCCTTCCTGTGCATGCACAGCTTCTCTCTTCAAAACTCACCCATTACCAAAGAGAGGAAAAATATAAAAACCAACAGTTCTATAAGATATCAAAGGAATCCATGTTTTGATTTTAAGACTTAGACAGAAAGTATCAGCATCTATAGACTAAGTAACGACTAAAATAGTTTTCTACTCACAAAATGGTGACACCATAAAAATGACAGATTCCTGACCTCTCTAATACAATCGACTTCATCTGTTTTTGGATGATTTGAATCCTGCCCAGGACTAGAATTGTTTTTAGACATCCAGCTCTGAAAAAACAGTTTTCGGTTTAGTTCCACTCTTCCTTTTCCACTCAGAAGCAATTCTTTGTTTCGTAGTTTTGGTTTTCGCTTTTACCCACACTATACGAGGTGGATTCCATGCTTAGCAATGCTGGCTGTGTCTCATACATATATAAGCATAAATGCCCCTTAGGAAGTTCCTAGATATTTTCAGCATATTCCCCAAATGTCCTTTTTCAGCTTTCCAAAGTACCTTTCTAGATTTAACTGAGCCCGTTTTATAACAATAACCTTCCAAATGATATTTATTGTAATATAAAAACTACACTTTCCAGGATATACACACAACCCCTGCTGAGCAACATAAATCATTAGTTCCAGACAGCAGGTTCTCTTTTTCACCCATTAAACTCTAAAGCTTGTCATTCTATTAGTTTGAGAAATGGTTCTACCATTTATCTGCCCTTTTTCACTCAATGGAAAAATATACAAAAGACTAACACATCACTTTTTAAAAATAATATTCATTATGTATGAATATAATGTATATGGTTACAATCATTCCCAATTACTTAAATTTCTGAAAGTAAGTTGCATATAATCGCACATAACATACTTCTTTCTTCCATTACTCCTTTATTCATATTTGAGCTTCTATGTTTCTACAAGTATTTGATTTGAATTCAAAAAGTATCATCAAAAGAAAATGAAAAGTTTACATATATATAAATGTCACTGCCTTGCTCAAATTTTACATGCTCTTGCTGAACTCAACTCTGTGAACATCTGGACTAGGTTTCCACTGTAAAGGGGAATACATCTATGCATGAAACAGTGTTCCTGGCAATAGCTGCACGACATAGAAGAGGCTTGAAAATGTGTGAAAAAGTCCTTCTCCTAATTACACATTTACATATACATTGCCCTCATTTTTCTTCTCTATATAATAATGCTGGATCTTAATAAGAAAGTTCACACTGCTCATTCCCTTGTTCACATTCTTTGATAAAAGAAGAGTTTAATAGCCTCATGTACATTCATAAACCAGAGCATGTCGACTAGAACCCAAACTTTTTTCTAAGCCATGTAGATTATTCTATAGAAAAGAGAATGTCGGTATGTTTTTGTTGTTTTTATGGGTTATATGATAATCACATTGATGACCATATGGGCTACACACAACATCAAAAATAGAGCATTTCAAAGTACATAATCAATAAAGTTGAATTCCTATTAAATTAATTTATTCTTTGGTTACTCTGCCTAGGTTTTGAGACCTTGAAGGCAAACCTGTGTCTTCCTCTTACCTATATCTCCTCAAAATGTTTCATTTTCTTCTCATACTCAGAATTAAAAAAAAATTAATATAAACATCAGAGAAAATTTAGAAAATTATAAAGAATGAAATCACTTATAATCTCACCACTCAGTAATGAAATTTTCTCACAATGCCTAATGGGTTTTATTTTTTCCTTGCTAATGTTTAGAATTGTTTTAAAATAAGTAATGTATATTTAGTGAGAAAATATAGAAAAGAATAAGGCAAAGAATGAAATTACTCATAATCTTACCAACCAGCGATAGCCTATATTTACTTGTATTTCTGCATCTATCCTTCTCTGTAACTAAAGTAGAATAACATTTTATAATCTTGCATTACACTTTCAAGGAGTCCTGGTGTCGCAGTGGTTGGCTGTTCGAACCCACCAGCCATTCCACGGAAGGAAGATGTAGCAGTCTGCTCCCAAAAAGATTACAACCTTGGAAACCCTACAGGACAGTTTTAATCTGTCCTATAGGGTTGCTATGAGTCGGAATGGACTCGAAGTCAATGAGTTTATTATGCTGTCACTCAAATTTCTTGATGAGCAATTTACTATGTCATTAAATACTGTTCAAAACATACATTTTAATATTGGCATAATTTCCATCCTACATGAAGTCTTTTAATCATTTCCTACTTTGGATATTTAAAGAAATAAGGCTGTAGAAAATGTCACTGTTAAACATGATAAATATTTCTTAAATGGAGTGATAATGTTAACTAAATTTGGATCTCTGTGCATGGTTTGCCCCATTTTTCTAGCTTAATACTTATGCTGGGAACAAAACGAAGAAAAGAAGAATATTCAGGCATTTGAGATAAACACAGTCTTTCGCATTTTAGGTAAAAATTGATCTGTCAGTATAACTTTCTCAAATATGATTTTCTGCAATATTATAGTAATAAACAACGTTGTATTTAAACAATAAGACAGTAACAGTAATAATGAAACACATATTCAGGATGAGGGGAAAAAAAGTCAGAATTTCTTACCTGGGGATATAATATAGAAGAAATCTTTAAATTCATCCATCCAAACTTCTGCCAGTCTCCTGTTGTTCTTATTGATAACATGGCCAGTGCCACCAGGGAAAGTGTATGGAGTTGCCTTCCGAAAAACGTGCCCAACATGTGAGCAGGTCACGATCTCCAAGGATCCTCCACACTGCCAAATCTGGGAAAATGAAACAATCGTTGGATATCAATCATTGTAAAGAAGGTAAAAATAGTATATAAGAAGCCACTGAGGCTCACTAAGCCCACATCTTCAGATCTTACATGTTTCATACAAACTCAGGATAGATGTAAAACTTGGAAATAGCCCACTTACCTTTGGCAAGCAATAGTAATTTGGAAGAATTTGATATATTTAAATATTTGTAGCATTGGGATCATGGACATAAGCCGTAGTTATTTTCACTTGCCTTCATTGGACTGTCTACTTTCCAGTTTCTAGCAGTTGATGTAATAGTTTAATGACAGTTGGTATACAAAATGTGCTATGAATGAATGGATTTATATGTATTTGATGCCATGGTCAACAAATATATTTGATTTGGAGAAAAATCAGTCTATTGTATTCCATCCATCTGCAATTTTAAATGACCATTCATTTCAAGCTCTCCATGCCCTTTGTATCTTCCATTAAAAAAAAAAAAAAAACCTCCTTGCTGTCAAGTCAATTCGGACTCATAGTGACCCTACAGGACAGGGGAGAACTGCCCCAAAGAGTTTCCAAGAACTGCCTGGTGGATTCGAACAGCTGACTGTCTGGTTAACAGCCGTTAACACTTAACCACTACACCACCAGGGTTTCCTTTGCATCTTAGGCTTTTGGATATATCATTATCTTTTACTAAAATGTGCTAGAACTTCTTAACATCTGCTCAACTTTCATACTTGTTTCAAAACCCATCTTCAAGATTATCTTCTCTGGAAAGCTCTACGGCAAGATTTAGTATTCTGTGTCTTTTGTACTTTAAAAATACTTTTACTGAAGAAATGTATTATAAGCAATTGTTTACTCTCTCTCCTTTAAAAGTATGAGCTCTTTGAAGACACAAACCATGCCTTGTATTTCTTGGTATCCTAGCATTTACTATGCAGCTGATGCTAGGTATTATGTAAAGTATCCACAAAACATTTATTTCTATAAAATGACATTGTAAGGATATAGGCCATACTAATAGCATGTGTGTGTGTATATGTGTGTGTGTGTTTATGTATACACACGTTACTACACACATATATTTAATTATATGCAATATTATTTGTAATAAATACACTACAGTTTTCTTATTTCACTTAATAAATAAAAGTCAATGTTATTGATATATGAAATTTGAAGGACTTGGTTTTATACTGTAACTAACATTGTTCTTATTTGATAGGTCTGATTTAGGAAGAATTGCTTTTTTTTTAACCAGAATGTTTTCTCCAACTGACCCCTCAAGTAACATTCAGCTTAGGAGAGAGCTGCTATTGCTATTGGGCTTGCATAGCAGTAAGAGACATTCATTTTTACCAAAAGACAGAAGATCCTAAGTAGTAAGTGATAGATATCAATAATGGTTCGCATCTTTCAAGTGCAATCAAGTCTTTATTTTCTAATATTCTAAACAGTATAATACCAGCAGAAAGAGGTTCGAACCCACACTGAAAAGATGGAGCAATATTAAAGAAGACTGGAATTCACTATCCTCAAAACACAGGAAAGCTCACTCTTAAATAATCAAATTATTTAATTGATTGTTTTTGTTTTTCTTCATTTCTCACTTTCTCGTCTCTCTATACTTTACCTTGTTTTCCTGTCTCCTGAATACCTCGCACTGGGTGACGTCGCTGCCCCTTCTAGCAAGGCTGTACTGTGCAGCCGGGGAGCCACTTCCTAGGTCTATGCAGCTGAACCGGTGGGATCCCTGGGGCCTTTTTTTCTTTTATTTACTTATTTCTTTTCTTTTTTTTTTTCTATTTTTTTTTTCCTTTTTGTGTTTTTCTTCTCCAGTTTTCAGTTTCTCATCTCTTCACTCCAGTGGCAAGCTCCCTCAGCACTCTTTTTTTTTTTTGGTTTGTTTTGGGGTTTTTTGGCTCCTGTTTCTCTCTCCTCCCTATCTTCTTTCCTATACCCATCTTAGCTCCACACATCACAACCTCCCACCTCCTTTCTTGCCTACCTGCACCGTGCACTGAACATCACACTCTCAAGCAGCGCAGGCATGGCCTACCAGAACCTGCCCTACACTGCCTCCTGGCCCACCCTGTGGCCCTAGTATATGCCACATATAACCCATTCCAGCCCTTTCCCTTCAGCTGGACCTGCCCTGCTATACCACAGCTGAGGGACTGGCCCTGCCTATTGGACAAGGAGGTGAAAATTATCGTGCTCACAGATGAGCAAACAACATATAACACACAGCCCACCTGCTCAGACATAACCAAATAAAACAAAAAAGCAGGACAAAACAAACGAATCTACAATCAATAAACAAAGAAAATAACTACCGAATGTCCCAAAGATAGCAGGCAATATCAAAACATATTAAAAAAACAGGACAGGATGGTTATAGTAGGCATCCAAAATAAAACACCAGATGACTTTCCAGTAGAAGAAAAGGCACTAGAAATACCTGATAGAGAATTCAAATCTCTAATATTCAGAGCTATTCAAGAGTTGAAGAAAAAAGCAGACAAAAATGGGAAAAAGACTTCAACACAACACTCCTGGTAAACGACTGAATATCTAGAAAGAAACTCAACAAATATACAGAAGACCTAAAGGGCACAATCAGCCAACTTGACCTCATAGACATATAAAACACTCCACCCAAAAGCTGCAAAGCACACATTCTTTTCCAATGCACATGCAGCGTTCTCCAGAATAGACCGCATCTTAGGCCATAGAGCAACCCTCAACAAAATCCAAAACACTGAAATAATACAAAGGGTCTTCTCTGACGACAACGCCATCAAAGTAGAAATTAACAACAGGAAGAACAAGGAAAAAAAAAATCAATTACATGGAAACTGATTAACACCCTGCTTAGAAACCACTGGGTAATAGAAGAAATCAGAGATGGAATAAACAAATTCCTAGAATCAAATGAGAATGAGAACACATCATACCAAAGCCTTTGGGACAGCGCAAAAGCAGTCCTCAGGGGTCAATTTATAGCAATAGATGCACACATCAAAAAAGAAGAAAGGGACAAAATCAGAACATTGGCTATACAACTTGAACAAACAGAGAACAGTAAAAAAAAGCCCACAGCCACCAGAAGAAAGGAAATAATAAAGATCAGAGCAGAAATAAATGAAATAGAGAATAGAAAAACAACAGAAAGAATCAACAAAATCAAAAGTTGATTTTTTGGAAGGATCAACAAAATTGACAAACCACTGGCCAGACTGACAAAAGAAAAACAGGAGAGGATGCAAATAATCCAAATAAGAAATGAAATGGGGGACATTACAACACACCCAACTGAAATAAAAAGGATCATGACAGAGTATTATGAAAAACTGTACTCCAATAAGTTTGAAAACCTAGAAGAAATGGACAAACTTATAGAAACACACTACCTACCAAAACTGATGTTGAACACAAAATGATGTCGAAAATCTGAACAGATCTATAACTAGAGAAAAGACTGAAAAGGTAATTTAAAAAACTCCCAACAAAAAAAAGCCCTGGCCCAGATGGCTTCACTGGAGAGTTCTACCAAACATTCAGAGAAGAGCTTACACCAGTACTACTCAAACTATTTCAGAACACAGAAAAGGAAGTGATACTTCTGAATTCATTCTATGAAGCCAGCATAACATTGATAACAAAACCAAGCAGAGATGCCACAAAAAAAGAAAATTACAGATCAACATACAAATATAGATGCAAAAATTCTCAACAAAATTCTAGCCAATAGAATTCAGCATTATATCAAAACAATAATATATCACGACCAAGTAGGATTCATATGCAAGGATGATTCAGCATCAGAAAATCAATCAATGTAATAAACCGCTAAATAAAAGGAAAGAATAGAATCACATGATCATCACGATCCACACAGAAAGGTATTCTACAAAGTCTAACACTCATTCCTGATAAAAACTCTCAATAAAATAGGTATAGAAGGGAAATTTCTCAACATAATAAAGGGCATCTATGCAAAACCAATGGTCAACATCATTCTTAATGGAGAGAGGCTGAAAACATTCCCCTTGAGAACAGGAACAAGACAAGGTTGCCCTTTATTACTACTCCTATTTAACATCGTGCTGGAAGTCCTAGTTAGAGCAATAAGGCAAGAAAAAGAAATAAAGGGCATCCAAATTGGCAATGAAGAAGTTAAACTGCCCCTATTTGCAGACGATACAATACTATACATATAAAACCCAAAAGACTCCGTAAGAAAACTACTGGAACTAATACAAAGATTCAGCAGAGTAGCAGGATACAAGATAAACATACAAAAATCAGTTGGATGCCTATACACCAATAAAGAGAACAATGAAAAGGAAATCAGGAAAACAATACCATTTATAATAGCCCCTAAAAAAATAAAATACTTAAGAATAAATCTAACCAGGGATGTAAAAGACCTATACAAAGAAAACTACAAAACACTAGTGCAAGAAACCAAAGAGATCTACATAAATGGAAAAACACACCATGCCCATGGATTGGTAGACTCAACATTGTGAAAATGACAATTCTACTCAAAGCAATTTACAAATACAATGCAATCCCAATCCAAATATCAATAGCATTCTTTAAAGAAATGAAAAACTAATCATTAACTTTATATGGAAAGGGAAGAAGCCCTGAGTAACTAAAGAACTATTGAATAAGAAGAATAAAGTAGGAGGACTCGTGCTACCTGACCTCAGAATCTACTATACAGCTACGGTAGTCAAAACGGCCTGGTACTGGTACAATGACAGATACGTTGACCAATGGAACAGAATCAAGAACCCAGATGTAAATCCATCCACCTAGAGTCACCTGATCTTCAACAAGGGCCCAAAGTCCATTAGATGGGGAAAAGATAGTCTTTTTAACAGTGGTGCAGGCAAAACTGGATGTCCATCTGCAAAAGAATGAAACAGGACCCACACCTCATACCACACACAAAAATTAATTCAAAATGGATCAATGACCTAACTATAAACTCAAAA